GTTGGCAGAAAATCAGCTTTTTCCGGCCTAGTTTTCCTGCAACCAGCCCTCTCTTTCCTTTTCCTCTCCGTCGTGGCCTCCAGCAGCCACCACTAGTCTTGCCACTATCATTTCCATCAACCTAGCTCCTCTTTAGTGGCAGAGCAACCACCGTGACTTCCTCTCTTTTTTTTCCCGCTCCTCCTTCCTTCCGCTGTGAGTTTTTTTTCTTCTTCTTTCTTCCTCCGCCGGCCTCCATAGCATCAATTCTATTGTCCAAACCGGCCACCAGCACCACCACTAGTATCACTGGAAGTGTCTGCCATCGTCGTCAACATCATTTCTGCCATCAGGTTTGTCCACCCCCTCTAGGATATATCCTCTAGGATATATTGTGAAGGTATACTAGCATTTCCCGCAAATTTTTCTTGTAGAATATCAGCCATTAGGACGTCTTTGGATTACAAATAGGCTCTTAAAATTATTACAACATGCACTTTTATGCTCAAACGAGCCAAAATAGTAACTTTGATGTGCTATTTCACAAAACAAACACCACGGTTACGTCCAAAATGGTTGAAAATGCTAGGAACCAACTTAACTCGACCTTAAACCGGTCAAAAAATCAGTGAGTTGGCCAAAAAACTAATCCGACCGTGTTGACTCAGGGAAGAAATATTTTGTCTCTGATAAAGAATATTCTGTCATGGGAATATTCTTTTACTGTCAACGAAATATTCTTATTTTGTTAAGAGAATATTCTGTCACTGTTAGATGACATGGATGATGACCTGGCTGTGTGGACCCTGTGTGGTGACGTGGATGATGACTCAGCACCAACGTGTCGGATGACATGGCTGTCTTCTCAAGTGAGAATTCCGGCACTGTCTGGTTTTTCCGATGAATTTCCAACGAAACTTTGGCAAGCTCTACAGGGCTTGTTTCAACTCTAATTTTAATGATCTTTATATCGCTGGACTTGTATTGACGAGAGGAATCTCCGCAGGTGGTCAAAATCAAGATCTGAGAACTTTGAAAATTCTGCAACTTTGAACAGAGAGCTAAAAAACGTGTTTTCAGTGATCTAGCTTCCCTAATGCTCTGATACCAATTTGTTGCGCATACTGGGCTGAAAGCAAACACAAATAAAACACAAACAACAGATTTACATGGTTCTCCAAAATCAGGTACTTCCACGGAGGCAGCAGATTGTATATTATTGGAGGAATGATACAAACACTCAACTCAACCCAGTACAATCCCACAAATCCCGGTATTTCACTCTTATACTCGGTGTTTCTCTCAAATCTGCATTTTCTCACTCTCATAGTTGCATTCACCACCTCTGCACACACTATGCTTATCTCTCACTCTCTCGTCTCTGTTTAAAGGAGAAGTATGAGGGTCTTGGCAGCAGTCCATGTGCAACCTAATAAATATCAACCAACTACTACTACCTACTACAACAACAAAGTCATGATGGTTGGAAAAAGGTTGACAAATTTGCTACAGCGCGTTATGGAGCTGCCATGAATGGAGACTGGCAAAGCGTGATTGACTACTATCGGGAACATTTCGAAAAAATCGACAGTCCAGTGACGCCCTCTAAGGATACTGTACTTCATCTAGCTGTGCAATTCAAAACAGAGCAACCACTTAAAGCTTTACTTGAAATCTTGAAGGAAAGATCTTTGCCTGAGGCATTTCTCAAGAAAGGAAACAAATTTGGAAATACGGCTTTTCACGAGGCAACCATCCATGGCTATTATGAGGCTGTAAGGATATTGGTAGAACGTTGTCCAGATCTAATTACCATTTCAAATCAGTTTGGTGAAACCCCATTGTTTACAGCTGCTGGATTTGCTGAGACAGAAATAGTGGAGTTTTTAATCAGATCCAAACCAGAACCATGCGTGGATGATAATGCCCATTTATTACCAACTTACATCAAGCGATCGATAGATGACCTGTCCATCCTTAGCGCTGCTATCATAGGGAAAAACTTTGGTAACAATTCCTCTCTTTATAGAATTCTCAAATTTAAAATGATACATACATAAGATATTGTATAATTTTTGTCTTCCTAATTTTATGAATGCAAAAACAGCTTTGCTGTTGCTAGAACTGGATAAATCGCTCGTCAACATGAAAGACAAAAATCAAATATCTACTCTTCAACTTCTAGCCGAAATGCCAACCGATTTTGAGAGTGGATTTCGGTTGGGCATATTTGAAAGACTCATCTACTGGTGTATGCCTACTCCAACCACATTATTAGACCTTACAATATTGCCTACACATTCCCTGTTTGAATACCATGGACATACACATACATATATACGTAATAATTTGAACTCTATATTATGTTGCAGGCCTTCCTGTTCCACGTCCCTGCGAGGTAAAATCAAGGTTAGAAAGTTGCCGCCGGGCAAGGAAGGAGGTGGGAGATCGTGAGAGCGGTCGGGGGAGGAACTCAGGAGATCTGGGGAGTGACTTGGAGAGGAATCAAAGAGGAGGCCTACTCAACTATTTAAAGGTCCTTAAAGGTATTGGACACAACTGAGGCCAGTTCTCCTTTATATATCGAGATTAGATTATAAGAATTTGAAATTTAATTCATGGCTTGACCCAATAAAGAGGTTTTGGTTCACATCCTATTTTTAGAAGCTTACGCAAATAATCCTTGTGAGTCATCAGAGATAGAGCCTCTTCCTAAAAAAATATAAAAAAAAATAAAAATATGTGGCTCACTTTTACAGTGGCACGACTTAGATGCATTTCTCCTACTATCCGATTTCTTCTTTTCTCGCTGTTTTGTTTTCTATATGATAATTTAGCATGCCTCTATTTTTTCACCTTTTACTATCATTATTAACATTTCATTCCATTTCATAATAATGTGAAGCTCTCATCCATGTTTAATTTCATTCCCTTTCGCACGAGCATGATGTAGGATGTTGGCTAGAAAGAATCTGGAACCAGAAAAGAGAGCATGTATTTGCTTTGACATTCGCCGAAAGCCTAATAAAGAAAGATGAGTCATTGAAAAGTTTCACCATAACAAAGGAAGACCAAAATAAAGAAGAAGAAGAAGATGAAGAAGAGCAAGAAATGTGTGGAAAAAAAATAAAAAAGGAGAAAAAACTTCTGAAAACACTAGCAATGCAAAAGAAACTGATAAAGCAGAAACTTCTGAAATCACTAGCAATGCAAAAGACAATGAAAGAGCACAAACTTCTGTATCTGTATTGTCATCATTAACAACTAAAAAGGAGATCCCATTGTTTACTGCAACTAGAAGGGGAATACAAGAGATTGTGGAGCTGATAATAAAACTACATCCTCATGCTATTGACCAGCGCGATGAAATGAATCGGAGCATTTTGGATGTGGCCGTCATGTATCGCCAGAAAAAGATCTTTGATAATGTGAAGGAAAAGAATTTACCAATGGCTAGAATGCGTCAAGGTGTTGATAAAAGCGGAAACACATTGTTGCACCATGTTGCAGATATGAATAAAAACAGTGGAGTAACCAAGCCTGGGCCTGCACTCCAACTTCAGGAGGAGTTGAAATGGTTTGAGGTGAGCTCTTTTCTTCCCTTTGTCTTTACTTGATACAAGTTTTACAGGAACCGTTAAACGGTAAAAGGATTCCTCTCCAAGACGCGAGTAATAAAACTTGAACTTAATTAAGACATCAGGCTGAACTAGTTCTCCTAACCAACTACTTAGGGAAAAACTTTAATATTATTCACAAAAAAAAAAAAAACTATCTGCGCTCTAGTAATAACATTTCTGTAATTCGTAGTTTTATTGATCATATTTATCTCCCAATTATTGCAGCGAGTGAAAGAGGAAATTCCTCCTCATTATGTCCCGCTTCTGAACAAAGATGGAATGACTGCGAGAGAGTGCTTCGAAAATTCGCTAAGAGATGCAACTGAAACAAGCACCAAAATGGATCAAGGAAACAGCTCAGTCTTGTTCAACTGTAGCTGCACTTGTTGCTACTGTTGTCTTTGCTGCCGCCTATACTGTGCCCGGAGGTTCTGATGAAAAAGGCAAGCCAACTTCATCAACTCTCCCTATTTTCTGATTTTCACTGTCTCTGATGTTGTCTCCTTAGCAAGCTCCTTGACTTCGCTTGTGGTGTTTCTCTCTTTGCTGAGCTCTCCATTTGAGCTACAAGAATTCCACATCTCTCTTCCTCAAAAACTTGTTGTTGGCTTCTCCTTTGTAGGGATTATAGACACCACCTATCTCCACATTAATATAATATTATCCACTTTGGGCCTAAACCCTCATGGATTTGCTCTTAGACTATACCCAAAAAGCCTCATGCCAATGGATATATTTGTCCATCCTTATATACCTATGATCCTCTCCATTTCTAACTAATGTGGGACTTTGGTCGCATACCTAGCAATCCTTCCCTCAAACAAAAGACCACTGAGCCTCTCCTCAAACGATCATTTATCCATCTGTCCACTCTCTACCAACCAAGATTCTTCATTCTCTACTTCTCTTTACTTCATCGTGTTGGGATTAGGACACGTCCATGAAGCATCCGAAGAACACTACCTGACTTGAGAGTTTGCCCTTTCTAAGTCAACTTCTCTTCACCATGTTGGGTTCTGGATACGTCCATGAAGCATCCAGGGCACACCGCCTATCTAATAGAGCTGATCCATGATCGTGATCTAATTAGAGCTCACCACCTTTTGTTAGGCATTTCGAGGATTCATCCATCATGGCTAACTCTAGGGCATGGCTCTGATATCACTTGTAGGGATTATGGACACCACTTATCTCCACATTGGTATAATATTGTCCACTTTGAGCCTAAACCCTCATGGATTTGCTCTTGGACTATACCCAAAAGACCTCATACCAATGGAGATATTTGTCCATCCTTATATAATCATGATCCACCCCATTTCTAATCAATGTGGGACTTTGGTCGCATACCCAACATCCTTCATTTTCTTTTCTGTGTTAACAACCATGCTATCCTTTGGGCAACAATTTTGATACTCATTCAGACAGAGAGGAAGTTGACATCATTACTCCTTTCCATTGCTTCATTCCTTCCATATGATTTTCTAATAGTACGGAGCCTCATGCTCATTACATTTTGATTTTCTGACGAGTTTTACCATATGATTTTCTTGTTATGACCTATTTAAGAAACCTTTCCATAAGAACCTAAAGTCATAATTATAATTATATATATATATATATATTCATCCTTGTTATATTATTTCATGTGTGTATATTGAATGTTATCTACTCACTAATTTGTTGAACTCACCCTCTCATTATTTATCCTTTTCAGGCTTATAGCTTGATAGCAGGTTACTTTTATTGGACCTTCAAAATCTACTCTTTTGGTTGTAAATTTGTACATTTCCTTTTATGTCTAGTTAATGCTCCAAAACTATGAATTCATATGAACTTTTGTATAAAGATAATTCAATTATATTATGGAATTGATTTTGTTATTAATGCTGCGTTGAATTATGATTGAGTTTTGAAGAATAAGTTTGTGTGTAAGTTTGAGGTCGCATAGCAATAAAAATCTTGGAGGAGAACCTTATCTATGTACCGGTCATGAATCCGGAATTCGGGTCGTGACATGGACACTTGTTCTATCAAAATAAAGACCAAAATATTTTACCAATTTTCATACAAACCTATGGAAAAATTACACTTTCATTTTAACAAATCATTTATTCATTACACTTTTAATTTTAACCCTTATCGTGATCTCTTGCTAATTAACGTCCTGATATAATGTTAAAAATTTATTTTAACCTGCAAAATTTAAACTCTCGAAGAGATCCGAGAAATAATATTATATTACCTCTCTATCAACACAAAATAATAAAGAATATATATATTAGCTTTTGATCTCATGTTTCACGACAGGCTAGTTACCCTTTAGCTAGCCCAGTAGCTGGTTGGTGATCATCTCCATTGCACTCTATAGTCTAAGCAGAAGGAAATGATGTCCCTTTGGCTTGTTAGAAATACAATTTAAGGACAATTTGTAATGAACGTGAACCACAATTTTATATTCTATGCTTCTTAATTTAAAGTTGTAGTGTGATCATTGTTCTCATGTATGAGAACAATTAAAGTAGGATTATAGCAAAAGGAAAAGGGAAAACAAAGAATAATTTACTTCTTTTTTGCTTTGTTTATTTTAGAAGCACGAAGGTGAATCTCGACTTCAAACTGAAATGTTATGGTTTAACAAATGGAATACATTTTTTACATCCAACTAAGAAAATGTATTTTTGACATAAATCTAATATAATTATATTTATTTCTATAATGATCAATTAACCAAGTTGTTAATGATCTTTTACACGGAACTAGACCCAAGACTCTTGGATATATCTATATAGAAAAACCTAAAACCTTTACATCTTAGCCTTTTTTGATATTTTTTGTCTAAGAAAAAAATTAACATGTGATGTATGTCTTTGTTTTCTTCTTTTTTTTTTAAGTTTTTTATTGTGAATTACACAATGTTGTCCACAATGAAAAAGTTAACGTCTTTAGTTTTTTTTTGGCTTTTTTCTTTGTTTTTTAATTAATTTTTTAATTTAGTTTCTTAATATTAAATTTTTTCCATTTAATTATCACACTTTTATGATATAAATTCTAAATTTGATGAGTCAACCCTTTTGATTAAGATTTTTTTCTTTTTCTTCCTGTGAGTTTTTTCTCTTTGTTTTTTTCTTTTTAATTAATGTTTTTTTAATTTAGTTTATTAATATTAATTTTTTTCTATTTAACCTCCAAAATTTAAACTCTCAAAGAAATCCAAGAAATATATTATATTACCTCTCTATCAACAGAAAAGCACGAAGAATATATATATATATAAAGCATTTGATCTCATGTTTCACGACAGGCTAGTTACCCTTTAGCTAGCCTCGTAGCTGGTTGGTGATCATTTCCATTGCACTCTAGCTATAGTCTTAGCAGAACGAAATGATGTCCCTTTGGCATGTTAGAAATAGAATTGAAGGACAATTTCTCATGAACGTGGAACACAATTTTATATTCTATGCTTCTTAATTTAAAGTTGTAGTGTGATCCTTGTTGTCATGTATGAGAACAATTAAAGTAGGATTATAGCAAAAGGAAAAGGGAAAACAAAGAATAATTTACTTTCTTCTTTTTTGCTTTGTTTATTTTAGAAGCACGAAGGTGAATCTCGATTTCAAACTGAAATATTATGGTTTAAAATGGAATACATTTTTTTACACTGAACTAAGAAAATGTTTTTTTTACATGAATTTAATTTAATTATATTTATTTATGTAATGATCAATTAATCAAGTTTTTAATGATCTTTTACACTAAAGTAGACCCAAAACTCTTAGATATATCTTTACAAAAAAACTTAGCACTTTTAGATCTTAGTCTTTTTTTATAATTTTTGTGTAAGAAAAAAATTAACGTGTGAGGTATGTTTTTGTTTTCTTCTTCTTTTTTCTAAGCCTTTTACTGTGAATTACATAGTGTTATCCACAGTAAAAAAGTTAATGATTTTAGTTTTTTTTCCATTTAATTATTAGATTTTTATGATATAAATCTTAAATTTGATGAGTTAACCTTGTTGATTTAGATTTTTTTCTTTTTCTTCCTGTAGGTTTTTTCTCTTTGTTTTTTTCTTTTTAATTAATTTTCATTTTAACAAATCATTTATTCATTACACTTTTAATTTTAACCCTTATCGTGATCTCTTGCTAATTAACGTCCTGATATAATGTTAAAAATTTATTTTAACCTGCAAAATTTAAACTCTCGAAGAGATCCGAGAAATAATATTATATTACCTCTCTATCAACATAAAAGAACAAAGAATATATATATATATATAAAGCATTTGATCTCATGTTTCACGACAGGCTAGTTACCCTTTAGCTAGCCTCGTAGCTGGTTGGTGATCATTTCCATTGCACTCTAGCTATAGTCTTAGCTGAAGGAAATGATGTCCCTTTGGCTTGTTAGAAATAGAATTAAAGGACAATTTGTAATGAACGTGAACCACAATTTTATATTCTATGCTTCTTAATTTAAAGTTGTAGTGTGATCATTGTTCTCATGTATGAGAACAATTAAAGTAGGATTATAGCAAAAGGAAAAGGGAAAACAAAGAATAATTTACTTTCTTCTTTTTTGCTTT